GATAGTAAAAAGAAAAGTAAAACTATCTTAGAGAGAGGGGACACGAAGCAAGATGGGTCCCAAATGAAAGCCCGGGGACGGTTTGGGCTGAAGCTGGGTTTTCAGTTTAGTTTTGTATTTGGTTTGGGCTGAAGCTGGTGGATTTGTGAAAAAAAAGATGAAACAGTGGTCCTCTGTTGTGCTCAAGCTAGAGACTACTGGGGCTGAAGCAATTGAAACGGTGCCCGGGCGAGGCAGTAATGCTACATCTACGTGAAACACATACGCAAAATAACGTAAATAGCAACGTGGTGGGCTAGGATTGAAGAGAGGGGGAAAAAGGGGCCCACCCCCCCTTAAAATCAGGGGGGGAGAGGGGGGAGAAGATTTAATTTAGGTATGTTACGTAACCTTTCGTAACGTTTTAGGTAGATGTAGCATTATTGCGGGCGAGGTCGCGAGGGAGACGGAGCGAGCGCTAGGGTCCGCCGCCGGCGCGGACCAGAACTCCCTCGCCCACCGTCCGCAGCCGTCTCTCCGTCGCCCCAAAAACAGAAGCGACGAAGACGGTGTTGCTGTACGAGCGAGCGGTTTTCCCAGCTCGACCGTCGCGCCTAGGGGTTCCTCTTCGTCGCCGAATTCTGCACTAACCCAGCAGGTTAATTTGCCGCCAAACCCCATCTCTTAGCATTTCTTCTTACTCTGTAGGTAACGCAGAAAAAGGGACTCCCAACTCTCATGTGTGCCAAATTGCCAATGAGGCAACCAGTACCCGAAATTCCTCGAGTTAGCTGCCTCAGTCGGAGAACAAAAGACACATGCTCATTGCCGCCAGTCGCCTTACACATGCTGGCTAACCGGAAAGGGCCGGTAAACTTCTCACTGAAGAATGGTCGTAATCGTAATTGTCAAGCTGGACAAGAAAGTACGTAGTGTGTAGGAGCGATTATTTACGGGGCTCGGAAAAAGCAGAGGATGTATATCTGCACGGACAGAACAAGGGACGGCAAACACTTCCCCTGCTTCACTGTATTCGGGACTGAAAGTTTGTTACAGATATAAAGAGTACTACCAAGTGGCACCTTTTTCTGGTAAAAAATGTTGACATCAGGTGAGGCCGGCAGTATTTGCTTGTTGTATGTGGTTTTAATCCAAGGTACCCTGTCTAATCTGTTGACCTTATCTTTATGATGCAGGAGTATTGGCTATAATAATCCTGAGGGGTATTCAGTTCAGTGATTGGCCTTGAATATTTCCTACTACACCTAATGACCATTCGTTTATATTGCAACAGCTATTCACCGGGAGTATCGTTCATGCTCGAGGCAGGCTAATCGCCCGTTTAACCTTCTGGTTGTAGAAGCTACGGGGTGCTAAAGGGTGTTGTTGCAGGCTCGACTTATCTCCCTGTTTGTCCTTGTTCTTGGGTCTAGTTTTCCTTGGTATTAGTTTCCTGCAATTTTTCTTCTCATGATTGCTTTCGTTGTGGTGTGCTTAGTAAAGCTTGAATTGTACGAGGGTATCATCTTGATTGCTTTGTTCATTGGTTTCAGCTTATTTACAGCAAAGTTCTGGTTAAATTGAGGTAGTCTGGTAAACGAAGCAGCAATGACAATCAAGAGAACTTCAGTTTTTCTCCATCAATCTTGAATTGGAAACTTCACTGATAAATAACAAAAACAATAAAACATATATAGGTAAATCATATATGTATAGGCAACTTGTGTTCTCGTCCATATCCAAATGAGTGGTGCACAGGAGGAGCTAATTAACAAGAAGTGTCATTGCAATACCGGTTTTTGAGCACGCCTACGGTGTTCTTCTGCTAATCATGAAGAATTTACTTGTACCCACAGCATCCATGCACTAGATCTCAGAATTTACTTCTACCCACGTTTGTAATATTTTTGTTCTGCTGTCTGGGATTGATCATGTGGTGACCACCCGACAGTTGCAGTACCATGTACTAACAGCCAACTCTTCTTCTTAATATATGACACTTCAATGCAAATTCCTCGAAAAAGAAAAAAGAACAATAACAAGAACTGAACTAACTAACTGCCTGTGAATAAACAGATGAATCCTGAAGGTTTAATCGACGGGGAGATGAATTTAGGAAATGTACATTTGTTGGAAAGGTAAGTTTTTTTTGAAAGATCCAGCATGACGCTGGCTTTTCATGTTGATCATAGCAGGGAACAGATGGTGAATACAGAATTACATGGAGCTGATCATCAGATCAGAAGGATAAAAGGAAAGAGAGGGGGCCAGTGTTACACTACGGGGGAGGGTGGGGGGAGGGACATCTATCAGCCTATCCCCTCTGGGGGCAGAGTGAACGGGTGCATGAGGCAGGATGCCCCGGCTTGGCGCCAAAGTTCGATGCCCCTTTTGATCGCCTGCAGTACCTCGCTCATGGAGGCTTCCTTTCCTCTGAAGGTGCAACTGTTGCGGTGCTTCCAGATTTCCCACAGGGCCAGCATCGCCACTGATTTGATGCCCTTCCTGAGCACCGGCCGTGTTTTCTCCACAATCTTCATGATCCGATCAGAGCCAGCAGCATTGCCGTCTCCAAGTTGCGGTCTCAGAGCCTCACAGCCCTCCCATATCGATAAGCTGCTCCAGATCCTCTTTGTGAACGGGCATGACCAGAAGCTGTGGTCAGCAGTCTCAAGGTTTCTGAGACAAAATTGGCAGAAGTAGGAGTTTGGCCATCCTCGTCGCTGCAACCGATCGCTGCACCAAAGCCTGTTCATCATCAAGAGCCAGGCGAAAACTTTCAACTTCCCTGGCGCCCACATTTTCCATATGATCTGTGGGAAGGCGGAGCTTTGGTTGGCCTGGAACTGCGCCCGATATGCCGACGAGGTCGTGTAGCAGCCGCTGGCCTCCAGGTTCCATCTAATGTCGTCGTCTGCTCCTGGGTTGAGGATGATCGGTGCGGCTCGCAGCAGCCTTGCCAACCGCACGCAGTCCTGCGCCACCAACTCAGCCCGCCCATGTGCTAGGTTACGGATCCAGCGATCGTCGTGCAGGGCGTCGGCGACCGTCCTGTTCTTCCTCCTTGAGTGTTGGTATAGAGCCGGAAACAGCACCTTGAGCACCTTGAGTGTTGGAAAGGTAAGTCGACGTCCAAGAAAAGAACAACAGTCTAAACTGCAGCAATCTCCTGCTTTATTACGCAATAACAATTATTGTTTTACAAGTACAAGTGCTAAGCTGCCGAGGACCCCCCAGCTAGCTTTACAGGAAAAGAAGCAAACACCACAACGACGGCAGGGATAACAACCAGTTGGTAACGACAACTTACAGGAAAGTAGTAAACAAATTTGAAGAAAAACCTGCAGAAATAACACTTGCGAGAAAATAATGAACAGAACGGACCACCGATATACAAGCAGGTAGCAGGGTGGTGCGATCGCTCGTATTTCACTGCAACCTTGATCATATTGGATTCTTGGCGCTTCTCATTCAGTTTCTTTAGTTGATCCAGTGCATAGCCCAGTGAAGAGTTGCCTTTCCTACCAATGAGCTGCACTTCTTTAAGGCTTCTCAAATGCTCCATGCCAGCGACTTCCTTAAAAACATCGGTGGGGAATCTCACCGAGAGTGTCTCGAGCTTTGCCATTGATGCTTCCTGAAATAGAAGAACTTTTATATCTTCATATAAAAAGTTCACGTACAGGTCCTTGAGAGCAGGAAAGGCGTAGGCAGTGTCCGCAATCAGCTCTGCATCCCTGCAGGAGTACCTCTCCAAGTGCATGCGCTTCAGATTTGGCAGCTCACATACTGGGCCGAACAGTTGGGCACCAAACAAGTATGTCCAAGCAATGACAATCTCAACAAGATTATTCAGTGAGCTGACCCAGGTGGGCAATTCGTCAATGCTGGCGCCGATCCTAAGATACTCGAGGAGTGGCGGCGGCGGGTTGATGCCATCTAGAAAGTTCAACGCATCACTGTCCTTATATCCTTTACTGCCAATGCTGAGCCACCGGAGGGAATACATCTTGCTCAGGGACTTGGCTAGCTTTTCCCTAACATCCTCATGATGAGGATCATCGGGATCCCGGGTGTCCATGGTTATACGTAACTCTCTCATTTGCTGTAGTTCACCGAGCTCTTTGGCAGCTTTAGCATCAGATCCAAAAACTACTGTATTCACCATCCGCAGTGCCTTCATCCTACCCAAGCCCCTGCGTGCAATCCAACACCCTAAGTACTTGTCAGCCTTGTTATTTATTTGCAGGTGTTCAAGTTTCTCTAGCTTTGACACAGTTTCTGGTAGATCTTCAAGGTTTGTCTCACGTACGTCAAGCGTCTCCAAATTCTCCAGGTCACCAACTTCAGGAGGCATCTCATCGATACTTGTACCTTTCATGCTCAAGAACCTTAGCAGGTACATCCGGCACACATGCCTCAAATGCTTGTTTTCTATGCCCATGCAGTCTTCCAGGTCAAGTACCCTTAGCAGGCTGAACTCACCGAGACGATCAAGCACCTTCATGTGATCTCTGAGGTCAAACATGCTCAGTGATCGGACATGCTCCATCTTCATCCCCTCAATGCCATTCTTCATAGCATGCGATGATGTAATTTTGTTGGATGTGGATTCCATGGATACTACCTCTTCTCCAGCATGGATGGACAAGCGGCGAATGCTACCATATGACATCCCTTCGTAAGAGCCACCTACTAGGCTAACAAAGTTAGCCTCCAGGGATTTGGACACCATGACCTCAAGTACCATGTCGTGTACACGGCACGTCTCCAACCTTCCATCATAATGGTTGACTATATCACCAGCCCGATCAATCATGCTCCTACTCACCAATTCGTTGTAGTAGGCTTCTGCAACCTCCATTAAGGTCAAACCCCGGATCTCAGCTACCAATCCTTCTGCAACCCATCTCCTCAAGAGCCGATTCTTGACGATGACATAATCCTCTGGGAAAATACTGACGTACATCATGCAACCCTTGAGATAATAGTGCAGGTGGTTATAGCTGAGAGTAACAATCTGCTTCATCCCCTCAAGGGTAGGGTGGCTCTCCATTTGAGAGCCGATTGACTTGCGAACTCTTTCCCATGTATCTTTGCTCTCGGACGATGTATAGCTCCCCAAGATGCTGGCAATGCTAATAATGGCCATTGGCAGACCACCACATTTTTCCAAAATTTTGTTCATTTCAGCTTTCAGATTATTGGGCAAAGTGTCACTCCTGGAACGAAGTACTCTGCTGAGGAACAATGTCTTGGAGTCGCCAGTATCAAGGGGCTTGATCCTATAAATACAATCTCCATCAACACTAGAACCGCTGCATGCATTTGCCACAATCTCTATCCGAGTGGTCACAATGATCCTGCTGCCATTGTTGTAGTCGGGCAACTTGGATCCGATTGTGTCCCATGCTGCTACTGTCCATACATCATCCACCACAATGAGGTATCTGGTTTTATCATGAAATTATATTGTTATTTAGAATGCACGAAAATCAAATTAATGCTGCCTTTATTACAAGTTGACATTAACTACAAAATCACGACCACATAAGGGGAATATAAATATGTGATATCACTGACTTCATTTTCATGGCATAAGATAATTGATGTAGAATTTTTTATAAGTGGATAGTATTGTAACCATTATGAAATATTATCAACACTTAATGGTAGATTATTTTGTTTTCACCTTAGTAATTAAAAATGTATGAATATCCAACTATTCGAGCAAGGGCTCACCAGACCGACCGTCTGAAGATTCTTAGTGCTGTTTTAAAATCTATCGGTAATAATAATAAAAAAATGGTTATAAGTATCAGTGTGTCAAATTGTATGTATTGATTGCCTGCCAGACATCAGATCAGCACACTTAAGGCAGGAAGGCGTAAGAATAATGCCATGCTGCTGGCATGTCCAAGGCTGACCGTCAATTTGCTCCACCGTCCGTCCGCGGACACTGAAGTCGGACACCGTCATCCAACGCTGTAGCATACATTTTAACAACTATTTAAACTAACCAGATTAAATTCGTGCAAACACGACGGATTTCATATAAACTGCACGGAATTTATTATATTTCGAACATTTTTCATATAAACCGGACAATATTTGTTACATTTTCATACAAATTGGACTAAAACCTACTCTAAACCTAATCTAAATTATCGCCGGCACCCATCCCTATGTCCGGCCATGAGACCCGAGAAATGAAGCTTCGACTATTGCCTTCGCCTTCTCCAGTTCCGCCTCGGCGCTCTCCAGCTCCGCCTCCATATAACCTCCGCCTCCAGAGCACCGGGAAGTGAAGATGTCCGCTCCACATCACCGCCAAGCGGCTAATCGGCCGTCTATGTTCAGCCCACCAAGCTTGGCTTCAACGGGAGGGTAGGAGCACTGGCCTTCTTGGGACCCGAGTGACAGCGGCCTACCATGCACTACTCTTCCTTGCTGCTGGCCGCACCATAGACGTGCTAGCTTCGTGTTCATGGCGGCGGGGCGCAGCCTTGGCAGAGTCGGCATTGTCCTCCTCGTCGTCGCTCTTGCCCCCACACCTCATCTGTTGCCTCATCGAACTCCTTGTAGGCGTCCTCAAGTTCTGGCTGATGCTGGCAGTAATGCCAGCGGGTGAGGTGGATCTCGCGGCTGGAGTGGTAGGATTCGAGCATTTTCGCCTGCTCCGCCACATTCGCGTCCGGCGCAATCACCCTGCATGTGGCGAGCTCCCAAAACTGCTCCTCCCGCACCGTGTCCATGTAATGGGCCCATGCCTCGCCGATGGTCACGCTGCAATGCACCGGCGAGTGTGGCGCCAACGAGGAAGGTGGCGCTGGCTCGTCCTTCGCCGCGTCCTCCATGGTGACGTCGTCGGCCTGCCAGCCGGTAGCAATGGAGGGCATTTTGTTCTTCTGCTCCGGCTACTGTCCGTCCTAGAGACCTTTGGAGCGCGAGGAGGCCATGGTGGGAGTGGTGCGGAGAGGAGAAAGGGACCGAAGGAGGATGACTGCGGCTATGGCCGGGGCTGAAGTTTATATAGCGGGCGAATGGCAATGAGCCATGGTAGACGGACGGATGGGTGGTGCCGGAGTAGGTTCCTCGGCAACTGCATGCCATTAATGTGGGCAGCAGACGGATGGACGAGCGATCGTGGTGTCGTTTGAACGCAGAGCAGCTTCGTGCATCGGGAAGTAGCGCGGGTAGCGCTCCCTCGTCCGGCATGCCAGTCCAATGCCGACGCCAGTGATAGGTCGTGTCCGCCCTGGTCGGGCATGAATGAGACATTGACGCTTTGAAGCGGCGTTGACCGTTTCGGGCGGGAAGCACGCGGGCAAGGAAGAGGGTTTGGGTGGGCCAGGGTGTGAGGCGCGGGCATGGCTGCGGTCAGGACGCCCGCAAAGCTCCCTACTTTGTCTCCAGTTTGCAAGAAAAAGTGCGTTTGGACCGACACAGATCCGTGTTGGATGACACATTACGGTCCAGACATACGTGGACGATTTGCCACGGTGATCAATCACTAGCAATAACAACAGACTGACCATCACTAAAGACAACACCCGGCTTATAAAAGAGGTTTTCCAAAATTAACGCCTCCAAGAAGGACACAATGCAAAAGCGTTGATGTTGCCCGATTGAAGATATTGAGTTTTCACCCTGGAGAAAGTCCAAGTTTATCAAAAAACAATGCCTTCAACAAGGTCATTGTCAGGTAAAACCAATAAATGCCAGACCTTAGGTTTTCATCCTGAGAATCGAGACCCGGTACTCGAGAAGCACCACAAAAAGTGCAGTCCTCCAATGCTGCCGCCCCCGCTTGGCGAAGCCGCTGTTGCAAGTCACCAAACGCCTAGCACATAGTTATCATCGCATCTAGTACACCTTTTTTGCCAACGATTCAAGACCTTCAATCGTAGCCGCCATGACTTTCCCCACCTCTATCAGTGCCTTGAGACTCTTAATTTAAACATGCCACATGACTCCGATAAGAAAACGAAGCTTCGCGTCGTGCCCTTTTGAAGCTGTTGTGGCTGGTAATATGAGCGCGCCATGATTGGCCGACTATTGTAGGCGACTTACCTTCGGCCTATGTGCTGGAAACTAGAAAACATACCGTTCTAAGATGGGTCGCCGGAAAGGGGAAACACATGTTTCAAAAACAATCACAAGCGGCTTCATCTGAGCCTGGGAGTTAAAACGCCTCACTCGCTAGTCTTGCATGAGGTGTTTGGTTCCAGATTTGCAAGGGCAACGTAAACGCAATGGGTTTACACCAATGTAATGGAAATGTTAACGCCCACACGTGTGGGCGTTTGCATCTCGCCCACACGCATAGATCCGCGTCCGTTCTTGAGCGCACGAATCTTGGCATGTTTCTAGTGCCATGTAGGACTGGTCCGGTGTATGGGCGTTCACCCGGTCGCCCACACGGCCGTTTCATCACACGGGAAGGGCTGGTGTGTGGGCGTTCAGCAGTTCGCCCACACGCCACTTTCCACGCACGCACAAGGGCTAGTGTGTGGGCATTTGCCATCTCGCCCACACGCCCGTCTCCTCTTCCACACCCAAGCTGCTAGTTGCCATATGTTTTGCAGCGCACATGGCAACTGCCCTAGTGTGCTTTATAAGCAGGTGACAACTCTCTTTTTACCTGAGTTGCTATGTGTTTTGCAGGGGGCCATGTGTTTTGCAGGGTACACGACAACTGCCTAGTGTGCACGTAACCAGATGGCAACTCTCCCTTTACCGAGTTGCCATGTGTTTTTGCATGGTACATGGCAACTGCCCTAACATGCACGTAAGCAGATGACAACTCTTCATTTTTACATGGCAACTGTCCTAGAATGCTTGAGAGCACATGGCAACTCTCTCAACTGCCTAGTGTAGTATGTGGCAACTCCTAAAATTTTAAAATCATGGCAACTATAGTAGACCAGACCATACATGGCAACTGCAGTTGAGCAACCATGGCAACTGCAGTTGTCCGACATGGCAACCGTAGTTCAGCGACATGACAATTGCAGTTAAACGAACATGGACAAGGGTCTGGACCATGGCAACTGCGGACGCGGGGTGACTGTCACGCGTGGCGTGCGGGACCACGAGGTACGAAGCCTGACATACGGGGCGTGTGGGCGTTATCTACTTCGCCCACATGCACGTGTGTGAGGGAGATCAGGAGAGAAAAAAAGAGGTGTGTGGACATTACTTGTTTTGCCCACACGTAGGTGTGTGGGCTGTTCCTTTTTTACACCACATAAAATGTGTGGGCAGTCTCCCTAACGCCCACACGTGTGACACTTATCGGCACAGTATGGGCAAAAGACGAAATTTGTTTGGCTATCAGATAACGGTAAGAAGAGGAAAACCAGGGAAGAAAACAGGAACCCGCCGGTCATAGCGCAGGGAAGAAAATAGGAACCCATCCGCCATGGCGCAGAGGAAAGCACGGCTGGGGTCCAGATAGGTAGAAGTACGGCTACCGCCGGCTGCTGCTCCTGCCGTGTCGCCGCCGCTGCATGCTGAAGTGAGGAAGGTCTGGACCTTGGCAACCAGGCCGGCGGCAACTCGGTAGAGGAGGGTGGGTGAGGAATGGAGGAAGAGATCTGCCTCCGCCACTAGTGCCGCAACTCGCGGAGGAGCGGTGTGCGGCAAGAAATTTTCTGTAGCGGGGACGGGGGTTGACTCAGGCTTACTCGCTGTAATGAAATGAACTACAGCTGTAGTAATTCGTTTACGTGGGGGAGTGGGCGGTATCGGGCTAAAACTGTGCTGGGATTTGTTTACGTGGGATCTGTTTACAGATTAAAAAAAACCAAACACGGTAAGAGGTTGTAGTGTAAATGTGTAATCAAATACCGGAATGAAAACTGCGAACCAAACACCTCCCTTTGGAACTATCAAAGGCGGTCTTTCATTTGGACCTATCTCCGATAGGTATCTACTTCCTCTGTCCCAGAATAATGTCAAAAATATTTTTATATTATGAGACGGAAGGAGTACGATGTTTCTCCTATGGCTGGTTTTTTTTTGTTAAATGATTTCGTCCGAGTTATGGTTGTTTCACAATAAGTACCTATGATGCCCAATGGCCGGATCCATAAATGGAATTGCCACCCTTAGATTTGACATGTGGAAAGTCACTTGTGAGGATAGTGGTTCAGAACATTGCTTATCAGATTTGACTTGACCGTGGAAAGTCACTTGTGAGGATAGTGGTTCAGAACATTGCTTATCAGATTTGACTTGCCCACGGTCTCATCCGTGAGGGAGTGACTTTGTGATCTTTTATTGATCAAATCTAACTTGACGTACTATCTTGTACGTGAAATTAATTAGTTCGAGATAAGTCTAACACATTTGTACATGGGATAAAATTAAGATGCATCGATCTATTGGAATGAACATTTGTTCGAGATAAGTCTAATACATATTGATACCAAGATCCCATAGTGTCTTCTAGCCGCAAAAAAAGAAAAAGATCCCATAGTGTCTTTTTTCTTTCATTGATTAGCGTGAAAATCTTTGGAGAGATTAATCTTACTAGACAAAGTCGTAATTTACCACTTTAAACTGCAAAACGTCTCATATTTAGGAACCGAGGATGTAAAAAAAAAAGACAAACATCAAATTTAACTCTAAATACATCTTACATTTAGGAATAGGGGATGTAAAAAGAAAAGAAACAGATAGATAGTTTATGTATGTGTGTGTACCTTATGTTCCTGAGAAGCTCGTTGAGCTTGATGGTGAGCAGGTCTACACCCATCTCGTTGATCCCATCTAGCGGGTCCTCTTCCTTGATGCCTTTTGCGTTATCTGGTTTCAGCTCCACGATCTGCTGAAGCATGCGCTTCAGCAATCCCTCGAGATCCTTATTGCCGTGGAATGCCTGGGACACAGAAACTAGCGCTTGGCGTTGGAACGATCCCTCCAGCTTCCGGCACACCTCCATCGCCAGTGTAGTCTTTCCGAGCCCCCCGAACCCCACGATGGAGAACACCTTGAGCTTCTTGTCATGCTCATTCTCACTCACCTCCTCCACCTTCTCTGCTAGTTTGTTAGCCTTGTCCGTGATGCCGACGAGTTGGTCATGGCCGTTCGCTGCCAACCGGCCGAGCGCATGGCCGGGAACCGGTGCTGGAGCAGGTAAAGAAGAAGTAGAGCCACGTAGTAATGCCTCACGGCTGACGCCATAACGCGCATGCCGTTCGCTGATCACCACAGCACGAGCGCGGAGCGCCTCAATCTCACGAGCTAGTCTACGGCGAGGGAAGAGCGTCGAAAGCATGCGCTTGGACCAGACGAGAAACCGGTCTTTCGGCCGGCACCGAATGCGGAGGATGTAGAGGTGCACGCAGTCCTCCGCATCGTAGGCCAGCTCGCGCACCTGCTTCATCCACACCCGGATGAAGTGGTCCACGGTACCTTCCTCAGCATCAGACAGCATGCGGAGGATGGCGTTCATGGTGTCCAGCTCGTCGCTGAGCTCAGCCACCTGGCCACCCACGCCGCGGAGCTGCCGGTACTCCTTGCCCACCAGCTCACCGACTATGGACGCAAGCTGCGTCGCCGCCTCCATTCTCCCTCTCTTGATTCGCACCTAACCGATGTCTTAAACCGCCGGAGAAGGATAAAGTTTACTCGGCGGCCGAAAAATTGAGCCCACCTCTCTCAAATATACTCTTCCACCCCTGCCAGAGCAGAAGTTTCGGCCCCCTCTCTTCCGCGGGCGTTGGGGGACCGGAATTTGATACTCCCTCTCTCTCAGTTTACAGGACGTGCGCGTATCCCTAGATTGTCAATTTGACCAACCTAATACAAGTCATATATTACAAAAAATACACCAATATAAACTTCAGATGTTCTATTTTCAAAAGATATAATTTTTGTGTTATATAGTTTATATTAGGGTGATAAAATTGGCAACCTAGGTATACACGTAGAACTTGTAAACTGAGACGGAGGGAGTACTTGTGGTTGTAGATGCTTTAAGGTCCTTTAGCATGGAAAGCAAAACTAATTCTGCGACGGCGACCTAGACCGCGGTGAATCGGACAGACGGTGAGTGGGTGGCTCGAGTTACGGAGAGGGTTGAGTTTTCCATAAATATAGAGATGCGTTGTTGCAACTTGCGAAACGCAAGTCGGAGAAAGGTTCCCTCACCCCGTGTGTGGATAGACTGGGAGCGCTAAGCGGGAGGGCTGATGTACCAGCAGACGTGGTGAGCGCTATCGACCTATACAAAAAAATTTGATATATACTCCTTCCGTCCGGATTTATTAGGCCTCTCAGCATCACAGGCATGTCCCCTTTTATAAGGCCCCCGTTGGAAAGGTGCATGCATGCAACCATTTCATTGGTTGTATTGAAAGCTATTGTTATTGGTGCCATGGCTGAAAAGTTAATACACTTCATGTGTGCTTTTTTATTGGCTGCATGCATGTGAGAGAGTGCATTGGGAGTGGAATGGAAGAATTAATGTGAGCAAATTAATATGTGTCTTGGTCTAAAAGAAGTTGTTTTTAGGCCTAATAAACCCGGACGGAGGGAGTACACACTTGCACCACCACCAGCCATGCCGAAACACTGCACATGGTCGACCTGCTAACAGCATCGGAAGACTTGGCCGGAGTATGCGTTGCCCGGTCTAAATCTGGACAGACGGAGAGTGCAATTCTAAAATTAGTTCTGCAGGATGCAATCCGCATCCCAATACCAAACTTGCTATGGAAGATTGGAGGTAGCAGTTCGGGCATAGTCTATGGCCATGCTATCTACACTCAGACTGGATTTTGTATACCAATCAGACCTGGCTCGTGCTGATTTTTTTTTCTTGACCAGACTAGATGAATGGGAATGCTTATTGCGACTGCCGAAATACATTGACTTGACAAGATAGTGGGACCCACTATCCACTGCCTCCTATCAAAATACTTGCAGCTAATGGCTCTTCTCTGACCTTCCAATACAAAACCTCGTCTCTCTCTGATTATCTAATCAGGGTGGGCACTAAACGGATACCGGTGCTGAAACTGAAATTTCGGTTTTAACGTTGGTACAGAAAATAATGTTCTTTGTTCTTTTCCTGCTCATTTTTTGTCTTCTTGCAAATACTTGTCGACCTTTCTAAGATATGTTATTGCATTGGGACAAGTATGCTCAATAGATGACATGCCCTTCTCAAACCAACGAGGTTTCTTTTTCTTGATTGTCCACTTGAAAATTTTGTATAGGTTCTCTGCGACATGTTGAGAGCAAAAACGATGCACACACTCGCCAACACTTTCGTTCCACCCATGGCGTGGCTGCTTAAACACCCATTTGATTGCTTTGTGGCGATCTGAAATCACACACATGAACTTTCCAACACCAATTACCTCCCCCCGCAACCATCTCATGAACCAGCCCCAGTTCATAGCGTCCTCTTTCTCAACAATGGCAAATGCAAGTGGTATTAACTTATTATTAGCATCATATCTGCAGGCCATTATCAACCGGCCCTTGTATCTTCCTGATAGAAATGATGCATCCACAGTTATTACAGGTCGAAGGTGGGGAACTGCTGCAATGGAAGGTCCAAATGCCCAAGCAACACATCGAAATTCTCTATGCCCTTCTAATGTAATGGGTTTTGGTAGATGAACATACTTTGTACCTGGATTTTTAACTCTAGTAGCCTCGAGGAAGGGGGTAAGAAGATTGTATTATCCTTCCCAGCTACCAAAAAGTTGTGCTATGGCCTTCTCCCTTCCACGCAACAACTTATTGTATGATGGTGTCACATTTCTGTAACGTTGTTTGACCAAAACTAGCAGAGTGGCCCGCTCGATGCGTGGCCAGAATGTAGATCCGTCAAATATCACAATGCATAGTAATGATATTAAGATCAAAAAAATCTAAAACTTCGTGTCATTGATTATGAGAAAATGTTTTACATCCTTGCAAAGTTTGGTCACGAAATAAGATCAAATGATCTCCATATGAAATGAAATACAATCTCTCACTCCGCACTCAAGTACTTGTCAGAGGTCTCATACCTCTTAACAAGGGCATGAGTTTGAAATATTATTTTCAGATCTTGGAACATCTCATATGCTCCATGGCGTTCAAAACATTTTTGAAGTCCCGGTTCTAAGCCATAAAGCATAGTGCACTAAACTATCAAGTAGTCATCATACCAAGCTTGTCAAACGTTCATAACACATGCATCAGCTCCTGCAACAGGTCTGTCACCTAGCGGTGCATCAATGACATAATTCTTCTATGCAGCAATAAGGATAATCCTTAGATCACGGACCCAGTCCGCATCATTGTTACTATCATCTTTCAACTTAGTTTCCTCTAGGAACATAATAGGGGAGCTACAACGCGAGCTATTGATCTACAACATAATTTGCAAAAACTATCAGGACTAAGTTCATGATAAATTAAGTTCAATTAATCATATTACTTAAGAACTCCCACTTAGATAGACATCCCTCAAGTCATCTAAATGAGCACGTGATCCATATCAACTAAACCATGTCCGATCATCACGTGAGATGGAGTAGTCTTCAATTGTGAACATCTCTATGTTGATCATATCTACTATATGATTCACGTTCGAGGCCATGTCTGTACATGCTAGGCTCGTCAAGTTTAACCCGAGTATTTCACACGTGCAAAACTGTCTTGCACCCATTGTATGTGAACATAGAGCTTATCACACCCGATCATCACGTGGTGTCTCGGCACGACGAACTGCCGCAACGGTGCATACTTAGGGAGAACACTTATACCTTGAAATTTTAGTGAGGGATCATCTTATAATGCTACCGCCGTACTAAGCAAAATAAGATGCATAAAAGATAAACATCACATGCAGTCAAAATATGTGACATGATATGGCCATCATCATCTTGTGCCTTTGATCTCCATCTCCAAAGCACCATCATGATCTTCATCGTCACCGGCTTGACACCTTGATCTCCATCATAGCGTCATTGTCGTCTCGCCAACTATCGCTTCTACAACTATCGCTAACGCATAGTGATAAAGTAAAGCAATTACATGGCGATTGCATTTCATACAATAAAGCGACAACCATACGACTCCTGCCAGTTGCCGATAACTTTTACAAAACATGATCATCTCATACAACAATGTATATCACATCATGTCTTGACCATATCACATCACAACATGTCCTGCAAAAACAAGTTAGATGTCCTCTTCTTTGTTGTTGCAAGTTTTACCTGGCTGCTACGGGCCTCTAGTAAGAATCGTTCTTACCTACGCATCAAAACCACAATGATGTTTCATCAAGTTTACTGTTTTAACCTTCAACAAGGACCGGCTGTAGTCAAATTCGATTCAACTAAAGTTGGAGAAATAGACACCCACCAGCCACCTTTATGCAAAACAAGTTGCATGTCTGTCGGTGGAACCGGTCTCATGAACGTGGTCATGTAAGGTTGGTCTCGGCGCCTTCATCCAATAATACTGCTGAATGAAAATAAGACGTTGGTGGTAAGCAGTATGACTATCATCGCCCACAACTCTTTGTGTTCTACTCGTGCATATCATCCACGCATAGACCAGGCTCGGATGCCACTATTGGGGAACGTAGCATGCAATTTCAAAAAATTTCAACGCTCACGCAAGATCTATCTAGGAGTGTGTCCACGTACCCTCATAGACCGAAAGCGGAAGCGTTTGACAACGCAGTTGATGTAGTCGAACTTCTTCTCGTTCCGACTGATCAAGCACCGAGCGTACGACACCTCCGAGTTCTGCACACGTTCAGCTCGATGATGTCCCTCGAACTCTTGATCTAGCAAAGTGCCGAGAGAGTGTTCCGTCAGCAAGACAACATGGTGACGGTGATGGTGAAGTGATCCGCGCAGGGCTTCGCCTAAGCACTATGTGAATATGACCGGAGGCGTAAACTGTGGAGGTGGGCGCCACACACGGCTAACAATGTTTGTTGTATGTTCTAGCCACTACTAGGAAAAGGCATGCTAGTGGCGCACCGAATTTGCCTTCTAATGGCGCACTACTGGTGCGCCACTGGCATCACGCCATTAGAATTAAATTCTAATGGCGCACTACTGGGGCGCCATTAGTATCTGGTGTTCTAATGGCGCACCGCGTAGTGCGCCATTAGTATAGCCTGCAGTGCGCCATTAGAATGCCTCCCAGGGGCCATATGTACAAATGTGCTTTGGCATTCTAATGGCGCACCAGCAGCTAATGCGCCATTAGTGTGATGATCACAGTGCGCCATTAGTGTCTTGTGTGGTGCGCCATTAGTATGAATATTAGGTTTTATTTTTTTTGCTTTTCTGATTTTTGCACAGGTTACAAAATATATTATTGCATAGAATATAGACAGCAGCACACAGCAACATCAGATTCATCAAATACAATAGAAGATTAGTCTCCGAATACAATTCATCATATTAGTCTCCGGATTCAAAAGACCGGACAAAGATAAAACATTACAAGTCTCAAGACCGCGAGTATCGAGTTTGCCTTCACATTACAAGTCGATATCGATCATCTAAACTACCATCACATAGAAGAGAGCTGTGGTCATCA